ATAATGATCTCTCAGAACGGGAAACTAAAAACAAAACAAAATTCCATTTGCCATTGCAAGAAAAAAATTTTCTTAGAATAAATTTAACCAAGGAGGTAAAAGACCTATACTCAAAAGATTACAGGATAATGAAAAAAGAAATAGAGGAAGATATAAACAAATGGAAGAATATACCGTGTTCATGGACTGGTAGAATCAACATCATAAAAATAGACTTAAATGCAAGATGTGAAAACATAACAACCTAGAAGAAACCATAGACAACAAAATCTCAGATATCTCTCATAGCAATATTTTTATAGATACATCTCCTAGGGCAAAGGAAACTAAGGAGAAAATAAACAAATGGGACTACATCAAAGTAAAAAGCTTCTGCACAGCAAAAGAAACCAAAAACAGAATGAAAATATGTATGAGAGAACATATTTGCAAATGATACATCTGATAAGAGATTTCCAAAATATATAAAGTATTCATACAACTCACCTAAAGGAAGACAATCCAATTGAAAAATGCACAGAAGACCTGAATAGAGGCTTCTCCAAAGAGGACATAAAAATGGCCAAGAGATATATGAACAAATGCTCAAAGTCACTAATCATCAGGAGATACAACTTAAAATGACATTGAGGTACCACCTCACACCTGCCACAGTGGTTTTCTCAGTAAATCAACCAACAACCAGTGCTGGCGAAGATGTGGAGAAAAAGGAACCCTAGTACACTGCTGGTGGGAATGCAGACTGGTACAGCCACTATGGAAAACATTATGGCGTTTGTAAAAAAATTAAAAGTGGAATTGCCATTCCTAGGAAACTTGAAACACCAATCAGAAAGAATGTTGGAAGAGATTAACCAAAAAACTTGTATGCATAGCCCATGGACACAACAATAGTGCAGTTGGAGAGGGGGCAGAAGAGGGGTGGAGGAGGTCAGTGGGTGAAAAAAGTGGGACATCTGCAATACAAAATGACATTGAGGTACCACCTCACACCTGCCACAGTGGTTTTCTCAGTAAATCAACCAACAACCAGTGCTGGCGAAGATGTGGAGAAAAAGGAACCCTAGTACACTGCTGGTGGGAATGCAGACTGGTACAGCCACTATGGAAAACATTACGTCGTTTGTCAAAAAATTAAAAGTGGAATTGCTATTCCTAGGAAACTTGAAACACCAATCAGAAAGAATGTAAGCACCCCTGTGTTCATAGCAGCACAATTTACAATAGCTAAGATCTGGAAACAGCCCAATTGGCCATCAGTAGATGAATGGATTAAAAAGCTGTGGGACATTTACAAATGGAATACTATGCAGCTGTAAAAATGAAAGATCTCTTACCCTTTGAGACAGCATAGAGGGAACTGGAGAGTATTATGCTGAGTATTAATCCAGTCTGAGAAAGACAAGTATCACATATCTTATATGTGTAATCTGTGAACAGAACAAGGCCTGTTAGAGAAAGAGAAGAAATAGGCCTATGTGGCTGGTGTCTATATCTGCAATACTTTCAATAATAAAGATAAATTTAAAATTTATCTTTAATGGTAGAAACTAATTAATACCCTGTTATGACAATGGTAGACAATATAAATTAATACCCTGTTAATTTTAAAATGCTTGTAAACAAGATTTTCTTATAAGTAAATTAACAGGCTATTTTTTTTGTTAGTAATTCACCATTATTTTTAACAAATTTTAGCGAATAGGTCATACGTTGGAAAAAACTCTGTAGTAATTTTGCCAAAATAAATATTACATATCTACAGCTATATTCTACAACACATTTAAATCCAATAGTCACTTTTTGTAAACAATGTCAAGCAAATGATTAGCATGTGATCAAAACGCATTCAAGGGGTAATTGGTTCTGTTGTTGCGTGGCTGGACTTTCTGCAGCAGCTTTAACACATGTCCACCCCTCCCCACATGTTCCCATGTGCACGAAGTCATGCCCCAGCTACGTGCATTTGTTTACTCACGGTAACATGTGAATGCACCCATTTACTAGACCTATTCAATATAAATTTCAAATTACAGTGATACATATAGAAAACTTTTCTGTGAAATAAAACTTTTCATACATATTTAATTTTACACAAACGTGTCTACATAAGTAAAAACAGGTGAACTAATTTGTCAAATTTTTAACATACGCATTCAGAAAACCTACTTTATTACATAACAGACTTCCGGCTTTAACTTGCCAGAATTAATCCATTATATTGAGATTTTACTGTACAGGTGATAATACAAAATTAGCTTGTCAAATCTTATAGGCATGTAAATGAAAAAGAACCCAATTTGATGAGAGATTTCATGAGAATAAAGTGCTGTGAGTCAAGCTGGAAATCCTATGGGGGGGGAGGGGCGCTTGCCTTTTGTGTACTTGTATGTAGTTTGAAAAGCTCATTAAATTGATAGTGCCTTAGAGCATTCCACAACATATTTTTAAAAGTTGAATTTTAAAATTTCTTAGCCTTACAAAAACTATATTGTTCTCTTTTTCCCTTTTATTTCTCAAATGAACTGTTAGTCTAGGAAGTCCTATTTGTGTAATGATTTGAGGGGGGGTGGTGCACAATAATTTTAATGCTAAATAATTATCAATATGGTTTGTTAAGGGTTCTATGGCTTATGAGATGGTTGGCGGAATTCCACATACTCAAATGTAGCCTGTCTTAATTGAAATACTCTTGTTTAGTGCCCTGGTCAAGCCAAATGATAATGAGAAACAAAACTAACCAAAATCAGGACACCTGATATCAGATTTCATGAAGTAAAAAGCCTTTGTGCAGCAAGGAACCTAATGCTTTCGCTTCTTATCCTTTTAGTACAAATAAACTAAGCTTTATTGGGCTCAGTGCTAATTAAAAATGAAAGGTTTGAGAAACAGATTCACTGTGGAGCCTCCCATTCCGTAAATAAGCACACTGAGCAGTTGGTACTGGTCCCTTAGGCAGCCCACATAGGTGCTGGTATGCCCCCCAAAATGACAGCATTTCTGGGAGGGAGACACAACCAAGTGCAGATTCCACTGTGCTAGTGCAAGAAGAGGGAGAAAATGTCCGGCAACTGCCTTGTTGTCATCCAGCTTTCCTACTGCAAGGAGGCTGAAGGATGGGGCTTTTAAAGAAACGTCACTGCAACTAGATCCAGGGGTGCAGCCTGACTCACTGCAGCACAATGCAGCTGCCTGTGCATCAGGGACAGACACAAGGGAAAGCAGCCACCAGCGCCGCTGCTGCCGGCACACAGAGCTGGTCACTGGGAGCGTTTCTGAACTGAGGATCTGTAGAAGCTTGGAAATTCCTCCTACAACTGGGTCGGGGCCCAGTGAGGTGGGGCTCAGGTCGAGGCTGTAGACAGGAGGCGGTGCTCCCAGCCCACCTCTCACCCTACCGCGCCTTGGGAGAGCTGGGAACTAGGCTGTTCACAGGGTCAGGGAGGCCAGCCCAGGACCCTCCCTCCCTGGGGAAAACAATCGCAAGGGTGCTGGTTCTCCTTGGACCATACCTGGCTAGAGCAAAGCCTGTGAGCAGCCTGCAGCAGGCGCTTCTGGTTATGGCAGCTCAGAAATGAAAGCAGCAGCCACGCCTCTGAGAGCTGCAGGGAGAGCTGTGCCCAGCAAATGAGAAAAATAAGAACTAATCCTGGACTCAGAGGAAGAGGCGCGCGCGGAGCATCTCTCTCCTGCTCCTTGGTGTCCTTTACATGAGGACTCCCTGCCCTCTGGGTGGTAAATCTGCAGAACCTTCCTCTGTGCTCTGACCCCCTGCTGACATCACTAACCTGTGACAGAAACATCCCCACCCGGTACCTGCGGCTCCCAGCCCAGCCTGGAGCCTCTTTGTATGCCGCGGACATGGCCAGCCAGCAGGACTCTGGCTTCTTTGAGATCAGCATCAAATATTTACTGAAATCCTGGAGTAATAGTGAGTAACAGAAAATAACCTTTGCTTGTTTGTCTGTTTGTTTGTTGGCTGGATGTTGTATAAGGTTGGAGAAATAAAATCTCTTCTGAGCCGAGGAAGTTTTTTTGCTTTCTTTGCTATGAAAATCAAAATGTCAGTGACTGAAACAGCTCTCCTTAGATGCAGAGGCTGCAGTGGAATTGCAGCGGATTTTGTTTGATCATATTTTCAAGTGCGATGGCCCTTCCAATCTGGCAGAGCTCACCAGAGGGTATTCAGGCTGCATTTCCTGCCTTGTTGGGCGTTTGGTATTTATTTGATTTGTTCAGGCTTTAGCTCAATACTCTGTGAACTGTGGTTTAGCCAGAGGGGTGTATCAGGGTTTCAGTTGCAGAGTACTTCCTAATTGTTTTATTAGGGTATTGTCTAAAGACAAAAAGTACTTAATAGTCCAAAACCTGAGATTCATCTTTTTTGTACACAGAGGCATTTGCACTCTTATTTGATCTGTCCCTTGTCTGTGTGGATGGTGCTCAGGATGGTATTTAATATTTGAATTTTTAACAATCCTGATGTTTTCTCTAGTCCAAATAATGTATTTTTCTGAAATATAAATAGGCAAGGTTCTGAATATCAGGATATCAGAATATTCTGGCTTCCGAAGTTCCATCTCTGACCTACTTAAAGATTTTGAGCAATAAACTATTTCAAAATGACAACCTCCATGGCTTCGTGGATCTGGAATCAAATGAAAATGAGGCCTCCAGGGTGTTAGTGATGCCTTGTGTTTTTGGAACAGTTTAAAAACAAAGTCTTCCCTGTTTCACCAACAGCCTTTGTACTTGCTCTGGGGAACATTGTCAGGTATTATAGATCATTAATTGTTTGGAATTTTTAAAAAATTTCCAATAAATATTTTGATGTTATATTAGGTGCATACTAATTAATCTACTTGTATGCAAAGACTTGGCAATTAATTATCTCCTACACAAATGACCTGTGGCCAAGATTGTTCTGTAAACAAAACCTGGGCAGGAGAACCTGAGCTATAATTGCTTTGAGAAAACTGCCAAAATCTCTTCAGCTTTGAGGTATACAGAGTTATACATCTCTCAATTATATTTTCAGAAACCATTTTTTTAATGATTGTTTTGCACCATTATATATACTATGGGGCTTGTAGGAAGCTGCTTTCTCTAAGTGAGAAGCCATTTAGGAGCAATACTGTCACCCAAATAGCATTCCTTTATCTGTTACAGCCATAACTCATTTTATCGTGTGTGTAATCCTTCCTACTTCAGGAAAAATCTCCCTTTGTTTCTCCACCCTTTGATTAGTGAAAAGAATTTGACATACAGGGTTCTTTATGGAACAGTTTTCCAAACACTGGAAAGGCCTCCTGTGCGTCTGACAACAGCCAGTGGTTTTCAGTCATTTTGGGTTCTCTGAGGCCAGATTTCTTTCTTTCATTAATTATTGTCATTGCTTTATGAGAGAGAAAATTGTGCTCTGACAATATTGAGGCCAGTGGGATTTCTTTTAGAACATTCTCCCCTTGTTTTTTAATTACTCTGGACAGAGTATATTCCCTCCACCATTCCTAAGCTCTCCCCACTCTCTCCACACTCACATCAGAAAATGGTTCAAAATTACCGTTCATTTATATTTGGGAAGTATCTAGGATACAATTTTGAATTCTTTCAATTCATTCAGCAGCTATTTATTCAACACCTACTATGTGCCAGACTATGGGGCTACAAAGGTGAATAAGATAGGTCCCTACCCTTGATCTTAATGTCTTCACTGGAACTTGGTGTTCTCTAGCATTCCTTTGGGGCTCAGAATGTTTTCAGTGCTGTCTTGAAAGAGAAAGAGTAAATATACTTTATGCTTAGTCTTCTTTAAACTTGTGGCAAACTAACCTGCTTGTAATCTAGTATAGCTCCCTGTTTTACATATTTTCAGTAGCAAAGAGAGAAAGGAATTTGTCTGTATGGAAGATAAAGTAGAAAACAGAAGCCTTAGGGCTTTAAGCTACTCAGGGTGACCTGGCTGGGAGGATGTACACAGGAAAAGCCACTCCATGGCCCAGCATCACAAGTTTGAGGGAAGAAACTGTGAGAAGAACCAGGCCCCTAATTATATAGCAGTGGTTATTTATAAATGTGCAACAATTAAAAAGCAATAAAACCAACTCTATAACTATGGCTGGCTGATTTGCAAGAGATAAGATAATCCCATGAACTTTTCCAAGATTTCCATTTGTTTTTGTTTTTGTTAACCCTCATCCAAGAAATGGTACATTGTGAGAAAAATGTAATTTTATATACTGAAGAATTAACAAGTCAGTTAAGACACTCATTGCCTGGTGAGAAGTGTTAACTTTTTCCTCTATTCATGTTGACACCCTCTTCTTCATTGGCATGCCCACTCTGTCAGGCTGCCCTTTCCGTGTAAGAGCATTGGGAATTAAAATGGCATTGATGCTTGAGAATAAAATGTACTTTTCAGAGCTCACTGCAGAGGCTTTCATTATCCCCTTGGACACCTGTTCTATTGCTCCCTCCCCATTCCTGTCCAGGCTTTCCCCAGCTTTTCAGTGATTCTCCTAGTGACTGCCCTGTGGTAGTCAGTCTAACCTGGGACACTCCAATGGTGACAAGGAGCATCCTGGAGAGGCTTCTACCAGCATTTCAAAGATTACACCACAGCTTCTCCTGCCCCAAGTGTCTGTAACCATCATTCAGGACCTTCTCTGAACTCTTTGTCCATCCTCTCATGTTGCTTTTCTGTTCCTGCCGTGTTTAATCTGCTTACCCTTCTCTGAATTTCACGACCTTGCTCTCCTGTCCATGCCCACACACATGTCGGCCCCAAGCTGGCACACCCTCACCTAGAACATGCAAGTCACAGGACCAAATGGGCTTAGATCGCTAGCTCCTGCACTGTGTGGACTTGGACAGTTATCTACTCTGCCTCAATGTTCTCATCTACACAATGGAGGCAAAAAATAATGAGTAGCTCACAGGAGTAAATGAGATATTAAGGTGTAAAGCACTCAGCACAATTTCTAGCACATTGATATTATTTTTACATATATTGAGCATTTACAATAGACTCCAATGCTTCTCTCTTCTCTAAACTCACTAAAAATCAGACTTAGGCCATACTTCCTCTTAGCATTGACATCCTCAGGAATCATTCTGTGTGTATTCACACCACTGAAGAAGGGAATTGCATGAATATAGATGAAATTAGTTGCTTGCTTTGGACCACTTTTCTTTCTAGATTTACCTTTTAACTGTACTCCCTTTTCCACTTCAGCTACCATTGAAATATTCCTACCTTCCCTAAGTACATACCTTCCAGCAGCATAGGGTGGCCTGGGCATTCTCTCAGTATAGAAAGCTACCTTGGGTTCTCAGGTTTGCTATAAAAAAAGGTTAGAGCAGATCGTTCCAAACTATTTTCTGGAAAAGAGGGGTTGTTTTGTGTTGATGGATAGAGCTTGTGCGAAGGCTCTCCCACTGATCTGAAAACTCTGACTGGCTGTCCTGATGTTTACATCCATTCCCATGTGCAGTGCACACAGGCCCAATGACAAAAGTACAGTCAGAATCCATTCAAGGCCTTAATTTTTCCAGGGTAGTTTGTGTCCTTCCTATAACAGTTGGCTCCCCCATGGAGGGAAACTTTTAAATGCCAATTAACTCTTTCAAGTAATGAGTTAATTAATTTCATTGACAAACTCCCCTGTGTTTGTTTCGGAAGGAGCTGGTATGTATAAAATGTCTAATGTTGCTGTAGAAAAACATGCAATGATTTTCAGAATCGGATGCGGCATTTTTCAGGTAGTGAGTTAGGTTGTGGTGATAAGGATACTGTTCAGTCCAACGTAGAAATGCCAGTTGGTAAGAGGGTTAGCTCTGGGGACAAAAAATAATGTACAAGTCAAGATTGAAAACACCTCCAACTGGCATCAGAGCAGTGCTTACGGGCCCGATATATGTCAGCCGTGAACCCAGGCACTAGGAAAAAGACTCCAGGAAAATCTCAAAATATTCGTTTTAGCCTCTTTGTAGAGTTGGTTTAAATAAATAGAAAAGTAAAGAGGTTTAACCAAGTTGCCTAAATCCAGCAGAGCAGTACTTACCCCACTCAGATCTTTCAACAGGAGAAGGTACCCAACACTGGTCCAGGCACTCGGAGAGCATTACTCCAGTATTTCTGCAGCCGTGATCCCTTCTCCTAAAGCTGCTCATGGTCCTGTTGAAACACAGAACTCCAAATAAACATCCACTCTAAGTAGACAGGATATATCCCTGGGTTTGTGATGGAAACAAACTAGAGGTGTCGTTGGTTGGTTGGTTAGCTGGTTGGTTGGTTGTTTAAACATACGAACAACCCTAGAATAACATACTGCCACATTGGCCGTGGGTCCACTCTGTGTCAAATGTTTATATGTAGGGCAGCCACATCATTATTTGTACAAACTGAGACACTTTTGAGAATACAAGTTAATAATAATGCTGGGACACTAGGCACGAACTGGCATAGCCCTGGGCAAAGGAGGCCATATGACTCCTCTGTTTATCACCTTCACTCTCTCTAATAATCCTGCAATTTATATATATCATCCACATTTTACAGATAAAAAAAGAAAAATGAGAGTTGAGAAAGTGATTTTCTCAGAACCAGGATGCTAATAAGTGCCATGAACCCCAGCCCCCAATGCAGTTGATAATCTTATTTTTAAAATCACCCATAGAATGATCAAGGGAAGAACACTTCGCGGAACTTAGTGCTTTATAGGTACTTTTATTCTTGATTACTGATGCTCTGCTTATTCTTAACCTCCTCTCTCTCTGGGCACCCCTGAGGGACTCTATTTCCCTTCTCTCCTCTCCTCTCCCTCTCTCTCTCACTCTCCCTTTCCCTCTCCTTCTCCCTCTCCCTCTCCCTCTCCCTCTTCCTCTTCCTGTCTGTGTGTGTTCTGGAGACCACCACCATCCCTTAGCACA